AGCCAAAAATGGACAACTTTTCCTACCATAAGATGTATCTGCAGTTAGACGAGGGAAGCGTTACCTTCAACGCCGACTCTCAGATGGTATGTGTGCTCACAATTGTCACCACTAATTGGTCTCCAATAGTGTCTACGCTTATGATAATTAGTTGATTATCTGTTTGTGTTGTTCGGGAATCAGGGAATGGATTACTTCTTCAAACACGAACTGCTGGACAACAGGCCGTCAGAGATCGCGAAGTTCTTTCATTTGGCGAAACCGCTGGACAAACGGCAGATGCGGTTATATCTGAACACTCGGCCGGAAATACTGGATATACTGATCAATATGCAGGACTTCGAGAACCAATTCCTGCCGCAGGCGTTGCGCCGCTTCTTCGCCGTCCTTCAGGCGCCCGACAAACGCGACCATTACTTGCATCTAATGGTCGACAAGTTTTCGCACCGCTTCTGCAAATGCAATCCGTCGCTCGGCCTCAACGCCGACATGATTTACGTGCTGTCCTTCTCGTTGATCATGTTGTCGGTCGACCTCTCGAGTCCGCACATCAAGAACAAGATGTCTAAACGCGAGTTCATTCGCAACGTTAGACACGCCATACATAAGATGGACGACGAGCTGTACGGACACCTCTACGACGATATCTATCTTAAGGGTCACATCGCTGTCAACACCAAAACCTGACCGCTCTCTCGGGGCTCTCTCTGTGTGACCAGTAGTTGGCGGCCGAAGTGATGGCCGTTCTTTAGCGTCCATCTGATCCATTGTTAGCACTATTTTTTAGTGTACTTTTTGTCTGTTTTTAGCAGTGATTTAGTTGTGAGAAACAATGCATTTTCATTATATCGCTCATTGAATTTAGACTATAAATTGTTGACTACTTTAATGAACACACAAAACACACACACTTTGTATTCATTACACACTCATTGCATGATAACAGCGAATCAATACAAACCACTTAATTGTAATAATAGATTATGTGATCATTTAATTTGCAATCCATTTTAATGTTGTTATATATTTCTAGTCATTAATCAAATGTATTCATATAGTTTTTAGTATCATTTGTTTTGTTTGTTTTCGTGGATTTAAATCTCAATTTATTATATAATTTGATGATTTATGTAATTCGTAGAGATATTATGGTAGAAATATTTTAAATTATTTGTTCAATTCATTCACAATTCCAACGCTTTTTTGACACTAAAAATGATATATTAGTTGTAAAATATTCAAGAAATTCCCGATTAAACTATTAAATTTGTTTCAAAATTATTTTATTCACGTTCTCTCTCTCTCTCTCTCTCTCTCTCTCTCTCTCTCTCTCTCGTTATAAAAATATTTTAACTTATTTTTAAAACATTTTCCTTTTGTTTATATAAATGTACTTTAATTCAACAAAAAATAATTTAATTTATATTAAAACACTATAAAACCAAACGATGACACTTTGATGACACTCACAGCAAAAGCATTTTAATTTGTTCCGGTTTATAGTTCATCAAAGTGTTGGGATCCACATAATTGTTGGCCGTATTGTTGACCGATTCATACATTTGTTCATATATTGTGCAAATCGATGCCAAAGAGTGCTTCCATACGATATCCCTTCAAAATATAAACAACACATTTATTTCAGCAATCATTTCAAAAATACATTTATATTTTACTTAGCGTTTGAGGCAATCAAATACGAGCTCTGATGGAGTGCCAGATCTGTGGGCCGAGCGATAAAAGTATCCATTTTTAGCTACAAATAAATGAATATCAATATAAGTTATAAACACGTGATAAAAATGCAAACCATTGCGGATCTGATGGCCAGTGGATCGCAACCGGAAAGTTGTGAGAAAGGGATCGTAATCTCATCCTTCTGTTGAATGGCGTTTTGCAGAGAACTTAATCCCAAATAAGAGATTATATGTGAGATCTGTTCGTTGACCAGAGTCTCGATGTGTCCGTCCGTCTGAAGCGCTATCATGTCTTTGAACCGATCGGTGAAGCGANCCAAATAAGAGATTATATGTGAGATCTGTTCGTTGACCAGAGTCTCGATGTGTCCGTCCGTCTGAAGCGCTATCATGTCTTTGAACCGATCGGTGAAGCGATAGTTAGCGAGCGTTTCATTGATAGTGAAAAGACAATTGAAGAGAAAGACTGCCATTTCTATTGGCGTCAGTTTAGAGGCGGAGATAATACACGAGTGGATCAACGGCTCGATAACTGTGGACAGGATTTGTTGCACTTCTTGTTCCCTCTCTTCGTCGGACGAGAGACACGAGTTCTGACAGAAGAGCACGTCTTTGAGAACAGAGACAATGTGTGTCACCGATTGGGTGGGCTTTAGGTCATTGGCGGGCACTTCAACGTCGCTGACCTGCGATTTGCCGATTCGCGCGACGCAGAAGTTAAGGCTATTGTAAAATATCTTATCACTCAATGTCTGCAACTCTTTCAACGTATAAATGAATGGCGACTCCGGTATGAGAAGCGATGTCTGCGTCAAAGTATGCAAATAAAAGCTGATTATGTTTTTGATCCGATAGTAAACCGATGGACCGGTTTTGGAGGCACTTGTATTGTCTGATATTAAGCTCTGTTCGACCCGTACTTTCAGTGGTCGACACAAACCTAATTCAAAATACAGACAATTAGTATAAAATATAAAAATTTCAATTAAAAAACATCCATACCTTCAGTGATGGATGAGATGGAAGTGTTGGCCAAACCAGTGGTCGACAACTTCTGTTTGTCGCACAACTTCAGCAAATTGTCGATCATTTCCCTCTCATTAGCGATGGACTGATGAAGGAATGCAAACATATCGCCCACATATCGGATCACATCGTTTGAATGGCTTTCAATGGCCGTCGTGTTAGCCGAGGGTCGGCCGCGAGTCAGCCGAAGCTACTTTAACGCCTGTTGTCGGCTAGCCGCTTGGCAGTGCATAAGCAGGTTTGTCATGAACTTATCATAGAGGGCAAGGACTTCTGTGCGGTAGCGCGCCTTGTCAACGCCTACTTGAAGCTTAATGTCGGCGCTAATCGTCCGCAATATGTTTAGTGTCCACCGATAGAGCCGTTCATTGGCCGCCTCCTCGTGCAGAGCCATTGAGTCCATTATTTCAATGCTATGGACAGTAAAAACATACAATTAATTCAATGATAATTGCAATGCAATGACAGACCCAGTGATGTGTTGGCTATTAGTTAGCAATAGTTTGGACTTTTCGTGAATTTTGCGCACTTTGTCGATGATCTCGAAGAAGTGGTCGTCAATGTCTTCACTCGTGTTGTTAATAATCATCAGTTCTTCGGGTTTTAATTGAAATGCATTAATGAAACGATTGGCCAACACTTCCTTCACTTCTATTCCCTTTCTATTGATTAACAAAATACAAGACATGAAATCAATGACAGAAAAACACTTGTAATTAAACTAACAATTCATCACTCAATTGATTGGTCTGTTTGAGAAGGTGTGACGTTTGACTTCTTGTGGTCTGTAATCAATTGATCCACACATTAGACAATACAAGTAAAGCAATGCAATCAATGGTCACAAAAACCTCAATCGTTTGTATCATTTGTTTGCAGTTTTGGTTCATATGATTGACGTTTGAGTACAAGTCGTTTAACGTGTGTTTCAATGAATCAAAACATTTGACAAACTCTTCATTAATGGTCAGACTTTGTCTCTCGATGTCTGTGCGAAGATTGCGACGGCTGTGGAGGTTATTATCCTTTACCACCGATGAGACACACGTCAGCGCTTCCAACGTCTCCT